CTTCTGTACCTAGGTCTGTATTAACTATCATTGGGCGATCAAGTTCCTTATATAGAAACTCAAATTGTAGGTTCTTAGGCAACACTTTAAGCTCTACAGATGATTATTTTAGGCTAGGGATATGGTCAGGGGTAAGTGCAAGACATTCTCTTAAACTGTCGTTCTCATATGGTTCACACCATTCATCATCTTTGAAAATATGTGGCACTGGAATTTTTAGGACTTCGGTAACTTGAGGTGTTTCCATCTCTAGTTCTCTCACGCATTTGTCAATAATATCTATGACACAACGAGTATCGTCTATGGTAGGTGCTTTCATGAATTTGGAAAGGATAAACTCGATTTTCTCCTCACCTACTTCGAAAGTTAGCTTTCCTTTCTTGACATCTATTATTGCTCATGCAGTAGCTAGAAAGGGTCATCCTAGAAGAATCAGAATACTTAAGTATTCTTGAATATTCATCACTAGAAAATCTACAGGAAAGCATAGTTGACCAATTCTCACCGAAACATTTTCCAAGATGCCTACAGGGTATTTAATTGAATGATCAGCTAATTGAAGGGACATTTTTGTTGGCTTTAGGCTTCCTAGGTTTAGTCTTCCACTGATTGAGATGGGCATTAAACTCACACTAGCTCCTAAATTGTATAACACTTTATCAATAACGAATTTTCCTATAACACAAGGAATAGAGAAACTCACTGGATCTTTCAATTTTGAAGGCATATTGTTTTGTATGATTTCACTACACTATTTAGTTAGTGCTACAGTACTATCGCCATCAAGCTTCCTTTTGTTTGATAGGATTTATTTAAGAAACTTGGCATAGGATGGCATTTGGCTAATTGCTTTAGAGAAAGGGATTGTTATGTGGAGTTGCTTGAGAAGTTCTAAAAACTTCTTGAACTGGCCCTCTGGTTCCTTGTTTATTTTCTCAATTCTCTCACTAATTGTTTAATTGTTCATTCATGGATCATTTGGGCCTTCCAATTCTATCCCACTTTGTAGTGTTATAGCGTTAGTGTGGCCCTTTGGGTTCAGTTGTGGTTGGCCAGGAAAGACACCAGCTGGGGCAGCAGTAGGTGCTTGTTGTTGTGCCACTTATAAGATTTGTGTCTCTAAAATTTTGTTGTGCGTGACCAAAGCGTCTACCTTATTTGTCAGTTGTTTTACCAATTTGTTGATGTGAATAATTTGGTTCATAAACTCCTTGTTTTGTTGAGTCTGGCAAGAGACAAAGGTTTCCATCATTATTTCAAGATTAAACATTTTAGATGCTTGAGAAGTAGCAGTTACTACTTATTTATAACCAGGAGGGATATCGGGTGTTGGACTTGGAGCAAACAACGTATTATTGTTCATATAAGAAAGGTTATGGTGATTTATCCAACCAGGGTTGTAGGTGTTGGAACATGTATTTCCTTGGGCATAGTTCAATTGGTTAGAGAGAATTCCAGCCAATAAGTGACATTATGGAGTGTTGTGTCCATGGGCTCCACATAGCTCGCAGTTAGGTGTCACAGCTGCTGGAGTTACGGTCAAGCTCTCGATCTTTTGAGTAAGGGCATCTATTTTAGCATTCACATGGTCTATGCCATTAACTTCATACATACCGTTTATTGTCAAGGATTTCTCTATAGGAGTTATCTCACCTCCCCCATTGATAATGATTTTGCGCCATGTGTTTCTGAGTTGATAGGCATCTTGGTAGAGTTTATCTGTTAAGGCGCTGCCAACTGCAGCGTCTAAGGTTAATTTGGTTTTGTACATGAGACCATTGTAGAAGGTGTGGATAATCAGCCATTGTTCAAGTCCATGATGTGGACAGAGCCTTATTATATCCTTGTATCTCTCCCATGCTTCGAAAAGAGATTCTCCATCTTTTTGTTTAAATCCGTTGATTTGGCTTCTTAACTTAACTGTTTTGCTAGGTGGGAAATATCGTGCTAAAAGGACTTTCTTTAATTCGTTTCATATGGTGATGGAGTAGGATGTCAGAGACTGGAGCCAAGCTCTAGCTCTATCTCTTAAATAAAAAGGGAAAAGACGTAGTTGTATGACTTCTAGATTAACACCATTAGCTTTCAATGTGTTTGTGTATTGCACAAACACTGACAGATGAAGGTCGAGTCCTCTGCAGGGCTACCAAAGAACTGGTTTTGTTGCATGATTTGCAACATAACAGGTTTCAACTCAAATTTTTTTACCTCGATGGCGGGGGGTGCAATGCTCAAGTGTGGCTCCTCTTGAGATAGAGCAACATATTTCTTGAGAGGACGGTTTTAATTTTCAACCATATTTGGTTATAGGATATTTGGATCATGGATGTTATATTTTAAGCGGTATTCTCTGATTTGGTGTTTGAGGATTACAAAACGCTTGATTTCGTCAATCGGTTGCTCTAACTCTTCTCCTTGTGAGAGAGTGCTTGGCATATAACCGATGAAGTAAAGGGAAATGGTTGTCTTGGTCTATACTGCACAACAACGAAATTACAATATTGTCTGTTGGTCCCCGACAACAACGCTAAAAAACTAGATGGTTGCTAATCCGCAAGTGCACGAAGTCAATCATATTTTTAAAAGATATCGAACTCATAGGGACCAGTACTTAATCTTATCGTCATCTATTTGTTCTATGTAAATCTAAGGCTATGAATCTTTCAAATATCGGAAAATTAAAACAAAAATTAAAACTAGAATGAAACTTAGAGAATATATCAATCAGGAGAGAACAGAATGTGGTTTCCAAAGTACCTCAGGGACTCAATAAATCTTTGGTGTATGTTATATTTTAAATTACATTTTAGTAGAAAATACTAGTTTAAAAACCTTAATCTCACACTATCGTGCTATTGACTCATGCTATATCTTGAGACCATAAATGTTTTGTTGTTGCTCACCCGTTTAAGTTGCAGAATACCTTTTGAAAACCAACAAATCCTAATTAATCATAAAGTGTTGTCGCTGTGTTTAGGAGTTAATATCTGATTTTTACTATCTGGCACGAGCCTCACATTGTTGCGATGTTGGCTCGAAGCCTTAATGTTTTCACTGTCATGCAAAACCTTTTAGATCTTAAAATTAAAACCAGAACCAGAAAAACAGTTTATGAAAAGTTACGCTAAATCATTACCGAGTCCCGTCGGAGCGACGATCCTCACATACCGGACTTAAGGGATTTAGCCAGACATAGCGTGTGTATAACTCATGTTGATATTGTTAAGCATATAATTCATAAACATGATATAAATAATATATATGCGGATTATGTTGCAATTTAGTAACACAAGCATACAATTGCTAATAGGCGTATAAAACTTACGGGAATAGAAGCATTACAGAAAATAAAGTGCGGGAAGACTTGATTAAAGGGAAAACTTCTTGACTTGACTATGACGAAAATATTAATTTTACGATCCAAGCAGTATAAAACGATTTAGTATTAAAAGTGGTGCATTAATCCCTCGATGCAAACGATTAGTGCGTCTTATAGTGGAATATATGCCTAAACAAAAATAATGGAACTTGGATGCCAAATTCATAAAACCTAAGCCTTATATAGTGAAATGCATCAAAACAGAATTGGAACTCGTGGGCTGGCAGTTGAGAAGTTCATGGGGTGAGTCGAAGGAGATTTCCTTGGGGCAGTTGCTGAGTTTTGGGTGCGCGCTATATGGCAAATGCCACAGGTCATGGCGAACGCCACCTCCTTGAAAATAGGGGGATTTAGCCTTCAGAACCCATGGTGAACGCCACCAGGCTATGGCGAACGCCATGAGTCCTGGTTGCGTCTTCAATGAGCTTTGCCTTGTGTTTTTTTGGACTTTTCCTCCATATTTGTTCACTTTGACCCTTTTTTAATACCATCCTCAACTTAGCGCATACCTGCAACATACGAATAATATCAACATAATACTATATAAAAGCGTAAATTAAACATGAAACGAACAAAATATGCATATGAATCGAGGCAAAAACAATGTGAATTTCAGTGTTATCACTCTATTTCATGACTAAAATGGAGTCAAAAATTCCATAACTTTCTCTATGCTTTGGCTAATGTTAATTCTGATTAGGCAATGGAAACTTCATCACATACTTTTTTTATTCATTTGATGACAATTTTCATTCATTTATGCAGATATAAAACATTAAATGAATATAAATAAAATAAAATAAAATGCTTATGAAATCTCTTACAAAGTCCTAAAAATTTTAAAAAGATTTATTTTATAATTGTATATGATGTTTTTGTTGGAGAAATTATTTTATATTATAATTATTGTTGATTATTATTTTCCTTTTAAATTATTTTTCTATTCATAAATTTTTAGACAGTTGATGGATAATAGAATTAATAAATAAATACGATAATAAAAGAATATATTTTACCGATTATTATCGGTACAAATACCTATTTTATTTTAATTAATTATTTTTTTTTATATGTCAAATTTTTTCTCTTCTCAATCTCATAGATTTCTTTTTTATATAATTATTTAATACATTTGAATTAATAGATAATTATTCATTTTATAATTCATAATTAAGTAATTCACTTTAAATTTATAAATTTATGTATGTGCAGCTAAATACTCTTTGTACTTTAAAAAATAAAATTTTTCAAGCATGAATCTGATAGTTTAAATTGAGATTCACTGTTTATTACTCTCTCCATGTGATTCTTTTGTCTGCTAAAATAAATGATCTATTTTAGTTTTTAATATATATTTTTTAATGTTATTTTTTAATTAATATTATTTTTATCATTTTCTATATATAATAAGATTACTTTAAATAAACATATAATTCTTTCATTTATTTATTTTTTCTTAATCTGCTTGAAAAAAATCAACTTGATAACTAATCGTAGACCAAAGAAGTACTTGTTTATCCATGATTTAATCATTCACGTTGTCGCAGATAGATACACGTACCAATCTCTAGAACTCTCCAACAAAAGAGCTAAAAAAGAAAACCCTCATCCATTCACCCCAATGGCCGCCGCAGCACCGCCACCACCACCGGCTGAACCCCCCACAACGATGCCAGAAACCGCCCTTCCGCGGCAACCATTGTTCACACGCATCCGCTTAGCCACCCCTTCCGACGTTCCTTACATCAACAAGCTAGTTCATCAAATGGCTGTTTTTGAACGCCTGACTCACCTCTTCACCGCGACAGAGTCTTCCTACTCCTCCACCCTCTTCTCTCCCGACAACAAACCATTCCACTCTTTCACCGTCTTTCTCCTTGAAGTATCTCAAAACCCTTTCACCGATACCCGATTCGACAACGACCCTTTTTATAAACCCTTAATCAAAGTCGTGAACTTGGAGCTCCCAATCGATGACCCAGAGAAAGAAAATTTCAAAACTGAGAATGGAAATGAAGTTATCGTTGCTGGGTTTGTGTTGTTTTTCCGTAATTATTCAACTTTTTTGGGGAAGCCTGGGTTCTATGTGGAAGATCTGTTTGTGAGGGAGAGTTATAGGAGAAAAGGGTTTGGGAAAATGTTGCTTACTGCTGTGGCGAATCAGGCTGTGAAGATGGGGTATGGGAGGGTGGAATGGGTTGTGCTTGATTGGAATGTTAATGCTATTAAGTTTTATGAGGATCTGGGTGCTGAGATCTTGCAGGAATGGAGGCTTTGCAGACTCACTGGGGAGAATCTGGAGGCTTATGGAGCTACTGATTAAAATAATGAGGTTTTCCTTTTTCTTTTTGTTTCTTTACAAGAAAATATTTGACAACTTTTTACTGTCTTTTGTTGTAATTTGAGTTTCGAATTTGCTATGTTGTTCTACTCATGGGAACTTATATCATTGTAGTTGGATGCTGCTGTTTTTGTTCTAATTTAGTTATAATTTGAGTTTGGACATTTTGTTGTTTCTGAAATTTTACAACTTATATCAACACATCAACACGTGGGATGTTACCTTGTTTTCTTTTAAGGCAAAACTCACAAGCCTTCTCATCCACATCTACTTTTGGCACTCTTACACGCAAATATTTCACCCTTAAATGACTTGAGCTTTTAAAATTTAGATGACCTTATCTTATGTGCGATAACCAGTTTGGATCATCTTGAGTAGTGGATGACATGCACATCATCTTAGCAGTTTTGATACTATACGAACTCAAATATTGCAGGGAGTTCTTATTCATGACTTGAGAAATTTTTATTAACAAATTTTCCCAAATTCATCAAGTTGCACTTCATGACAAGGACTAAGAGCACATTTTCTATTAGAGTAGTTTTTTCATCTTTTCTCGTGATGACAATGTTCCCAATGCCTTCTACAATAAGATGCATGATATCATCCAATATCACACTTGTCTTCTTCTTGCTTTTATTCAAGTTTGATTCGCCATTCCTTATGTCCAGTCATGTAATTACTTATGTCCAGTCATGTAACTAGAGCAGTCAGTATCAAGATACCAATCCTCACACATAGGATTGCCTTCACAGTTTGCATTCATCAATAGTATTATATCAAAATATGATCCCTAATCTTGAGTCATCAATACTATTATAAAAGTCTGAGCCCTAATCTCGAGCCTTCTTTGAATCAACTCATATATCCTTCCCAATAACTAAAGTTTTACCTTATTGACTTTATCTCCACCATAATGATACTTCACTAGTATGTCCCAGGCTTCTTTGATTCTCGCAACCTTCTAGATGCTTTTCAAAAATGTTAGATTAAGGACCCGTTTGTTTTGGTTTTTGTTAAAAATGATTTTTATAATGTAATATAATTGTGTAAAAAAAATGTACAAAATTTTTTTTCTTAAAAACTTCAAATGAAAATTTTATTTAAATAGTTATTGAAAAAATAATTGTACAACTCATAGGAATAGTTGCCAATTTGAGTTTCCTGTGACTGTTGAAAGTTTTAAATTTTCTTTATGCTTTGCTTTCGGGTCATTGTAACATGTTCAAGTGCTCGTCAAGACGCTTTTAAGTATTTATCCATTATTTATGCTTTGCTCTCGTGTCATTTTAACATGTTCAAGTGCTCGTCAGGACGCATTCAAGTATTTATTCATTATTTACAAAGTCGACGCTTTCAAGTATTTATCCATTATTTACAAAGTCGTAAACGTATTCGGTGTATACAATATTAACTTCCTAATTTTTACATATCAAGGGAATATGATGAGGCACAACAAAAATTATGAGAAGGAAGAAAATCAATCATCCCAACAACATCAGTATAAGAATTGAAATGGATACGACTAATAAATTGGTAAGATTGTGTGGTAGATGTCGTCATCCATGACACACACGAAACATTGTTCTAATATTTGAACAACCTCTACATGATAATTTATTATGTTATTAAAAATTTTGTAATTGTACAATTTAATATAGATAATTATTTTTAATTACATTAAAACAAATATAAACACCCTGAGACAACAACACACAAACATAAACATTCTTAAAACAATAACACCCAAACATAAACACGCTTAAAACAATAAGACAAACAACAAATAAAAAGACTTAACAACATACCATATTTAAAATATTACAACAATCAAAATAACATCATTTGGTGTAGACATCATATCCCTAACATCATTGTCATTTTTTACTGGCACCCACATATAGTAGATATCATCATTGTCATCCGCAATAGAAATGTATAAAATAAGTTTCTCAATACTTCTAATTCTTCCACCGTCATTATTCTCTCTGTCTAACCAGAGAATCAAATTCCTCTCAAATTGTTCAAAATTTTAGATGTTTCAAAAACGTATCTTCATCGGAGGCTTGGTTCTCAATTAAAAAAAATTCAAGTGAACAAAAAATTAAGAAGAAAATGAGAAGAGATGTCAAAAAAATAAAAAAAGACATACATCTATTTATATTAAAAATAAGTATTTAACACATGAAAGTCAGATGAATTAGCGATTACTCCTATGGAATGTACATTGTCACTAATTCAATTGATTAGATTAGGCGCATTCACTAATTTAATTGGCTAGAGTACTTACTTTTTCAATAATCGTAATTGGATTGACTAGTGCTCTGTGTGTTGTAATTTTTGTTTTATTTGAAACATGAGTGCGTTGGAAATTTATGAGAAAAGTTGATTATTTGGAAAATTTTGTTGAAAAAGTTCGTTATTTTCTACAAAAGCGTATATAACACTTCTAAATAATGTTAAAAATAATATATATATTCTAAGTTATAATTATTTTTTTAAAAAAATTACAATCTTTAAGTTATTTTTATTATAACAGATTGGTCCTTTATATTTCTTTGTAACAATTTGGTACTTTAAGTTACCAAACATATGCACCATTACTATTTAAAAACTTGTTTAAAAAATGAATATGTGGCACTAACGTGAGTGAGGTGTCAATGACGCGGACATGAATTTTTTTTAGAACTTTCACAAAAACTCAAGACAAGAATCCAGAACAAACCCTCACAAAAACAAGAACACAAATCAATTAATCTGATCACATATTCTTCGGATCTCACCTTTTCTTCTTCTCTTCACTCTCCAAACCCCAAAAACAACCGCAACAATAATGGAAGCAACAAAAACATCATCAGCAACCAAACAATTCGAACAAATCTTCCAAAAAAACAATAACTTCAAAAGAAATCCAATCACAAACAACCATCGCCACCACACTCAATTTCCCCCCACTATTGTCTCCTCCCTAACGGCTGTGTCACACCCTAATTTTAACCCTAAAATATCATATCTTGTGCATCGTCTTACGTAATCATTTTCAGGACATAGCTTTACTTGCGTGTTTATTATGGCTAACAAGTTAGTGCATGAACGTTGATTTCACACACTCATTCTTTAAGTTAAGTGCTTCAAGACGGGACCGTTGAATTTTGATTCAAAAGATCCTAAGCTTGTGCTCCATGCGCTTGGAAGTGGTAAAGTTGGATAAAAATCTTGAATCGGGTTAGATTTAATTCAAAATTCAAAGGGTACCAGCTAGTTTCAGGATTCATGCTCTTTACAAAGGTATTTTCAAGATTTATCGTTGATCCTAAGGTGCATCCCAGGTTCGAACGCAAGATTCGTGCTTCGATCCAAAATCTAATCACGGTGGAATTCATAAGATTCGAGATAATTTCATTCCTACAAGGCTTAAATTTAAGTCATCATAAGAAATCCACGTTCTGTATTCACACTGACTCTGTATTCACACTGACTGTTCTTTACGAGAAGTTCAAATTGATAATTCACGGCCAAACAAAACCAAGTCGTGCCAAACACCTGTTAGATCTGTCCATTGCCTGTTTATGATACAATAATAAATTGAAGCAAAATTTCAAGCTCACATAAGACAAAGTAAAATATTCATGGCAATTGAGAATACTAAGCACAATCTTAATACTTACCAGCTTGGAACTTGCATCTCCGTTTTTAATACTAACTTCAGAGTAACGGGACCAGACTCTTCCAAGCCATCATCACGGCGACGAGAATCTCGCACAAAGTATGCTGCAATCGTTAACTTCATGTTAGCAACAACACCGCATAACACGGCAAGTAATCAGAGCTTCTAATCAAACAATCAGCAACATTAAGACAAGTATTGAATTGATTAAGAAGTATGCTCCCAACGTTCAAATACTTTCCAAAACAATGGTGAGACAGAATCCAAACATGTTAACGAAAACGAAAAGTCCTTTATCATACCAACAACACAAAATCAACAAAATATTTGGCATTGATATCAAAATAAAAGGTCTTGAATCACCTACAATAAAGAGGAACCTCATCACAAATAAATAGTGAATGCCACAATAGTTAAGAGGGGGACGAAAAGGAAGAAATCTCAAATTTCATACTAAAAAGACATTCACACCCATTCATATGAATACGAGGGACAGGGCTAAAAGCATCCCACACGCACGACATTAGAGAAGCAAGAGTTCACATACATAAAGTCAGAAGCAGACCCAAAGACGCCTAGGAGAAACAAAGTATACCAAAAGGGAGAGATTGAGTCACTTGCAACGGGCTTCTTTCTTCATCGTAGCCGCGGATCCGGGTATTGACACCACTCAGTCTAGGTTTACTTCCTTGTGATCATTTTTTTTGTTTCCATCGTTATAATAAAGGAAGAATAAGAATCAATGGGGTTTAGGGATTGTTAGATTCAGGTTTTCTTGGCAACACGTTTTAGATGTTTTCGTCTCCATTTGATTCGTTTAGATTTGTGCTTTTTCTAAGTTATTTGGTTTGTAAGCTTTGTTTGATCAAGACAGTGTTCTAGAGAGAGGTTGAGAGGGTGCCGGAATTTCGGCCATGGCAGAGGTGAGCAAGAATGGCATTTTGGAGGTGAAGGTGTCGTTTAGGGTTTGTTTATGAACCATGTTGGCAGCAATTGGGCGGGTCCGGATAACTATGACCCTTGCCCCATTGATGACCTTGTAGCCTCCCTCTCCTATTCCGTTTGGGCTTTCATCAGCCCACTTTTCTATTATTTAACTCCACCCTTTTTTTTAGTGCTGAGTTTTTTTTTTTAAAATAAGAAAAGAAAAACTTTTTATTTATAAACTTTAAAATTAGTACTTTTAAATGGGGATATTGGTGTTTTTTTTAAATCGTAATAATAATAAGTTCAATCCTACTCCGGATGCTAATTCACGTTTAATTTTCATAAAGGTGACTACCTGTGATAAAACTTGTGATTAATGTTTGATTCG